TCGTCGTCCGTGGGATTCGAACTCTAGACCTGCCACTTGGGGGTGCAGCAACCCCACCACTTCACTAGGTCACCACATCCTTATATTAAAGTATGTTAATCAAGTAGTATTATAAATATTATTAAAATTTTGTTATCTGATTCTCATCAGGAGATTCATTATTTTGCTCATTAGTATATTCATTATTTTTCTTAATTCATTTAGAACTTTGAAAAATTTTATTTATCTGACTATCTTTAGTTTGTTTGTTTTTTGAATTTCCTAAGTTTTTTTTTTAAATTTTTGAGTAATAAAATATTTACTGATTAATGATCTTATACTGGCACTTACTTTGTCAATTACATCAGGTTCTTGTTTATTACTGATTAGCTTATTTGATAATTTTTTATGATTGTCATTATAAATAAAAATCACTCTTGGTGGCGTGTTTGGTTTTTTAATGATATTTTTGCTATTATCCAAGACAATAGTTGCTATGTGCAATGTGTAATTGAAATGAATACTAGAAAGTTCCTCCACACTTGTGATTAAATCGATCAAACCATCAATAATTTTTTCTTTTTTTACAACTTTAGCCATTAAAAAATAAATTTTTTTGAAATATGAAATCAGAGTAACTGAAAAGAGGAATATAAATATAGCTATCGTGTAATTACACAATCATTATATAACTAATTTTTTTGACTATTTAATTAAATTAACTGATTAGAAAAAGAATTCTAAAAGAAAGAATATAAATATAGCTATCGTGCAATTACGCAATCATTATATAACTAATTTTTTTGTCTATTTTTTTTTTTTTTTCGGTGTTAAGGTGACCTCTTTGGCCATGGGGACTCTTTATTAGTAATCATTTGCTATTATAGTTACAATGAAGATACAACTAGCTACATGTGCACCTTTTGAGTGCCTATTTAAGTAGTCCGCCCGCAGGTTCTACACTAGATGCCATACCTATAACCCAACTAGGGAGTTACCTATTTAAATCTTCTAATCCTAACCATTTTTAGCATATCATACTAACCTGAGAACTACCATCTGGCCCATTCCACTAGATTGCGTACCCTGCCTTAGAACTTCTATGACTTATCCTGGGTTTGCACCAACTAATTACTAGCTTGCATTCCTCCGTTGAGCAGACGCATAGCTATCCTCGAGGTAAACCTACTGGAGCCTTCCATATCCCATATCCAGCTAACCCAGTTATTGCAGTTGCCGAGGCTCCCACTTGCAGTTTGGTATAACCCAATTGAACCGCTATACCCTTATAAGGTTCACTTCAACCCCAGTACTCACATTTAGGTCTTTCTTTTTCTGTAATTACCTTATTGATCTCTCCCTTATTCCCAACCTGTGACTCAGAAAATTTGACCCTGGCTAGGCTCTAGGTGCCTTATGCCTGTGATCTATTTTATTTTTATCTTTGTATCTATATTATTACTCAATTTATTCATATTATATATAGCATACTAATTACTATATAAGGATATCCATACACACATAGAAGTTAATGCATAATAGAAAGATGTTCGATACTTCAGAAGACAAATTGGACTCCATATATAATTAAGAGATGGTTATATAATCAAGATGACTAAGTGGAAAGAACCACTTAAAGGAATCATCTTTTGGGTAAAAGACTTACCGAATGAATTAGTCATCCAAGATAAACATATGGTATTTAATTATTATAAAACTGCCAATATTTACAAATGCAATTATTGGTAATGACTAAAATTCCTTGAGATGAATGGTTAAGCCAAGGAGTACTCTAATATAAACAAAGATATTGGAGGGAAGATTAGTGGTAAAAGAGATAATTGTGTAAGCAAAAATGGATAGAAATAAGACTGACAGTAGAGTAGTCTTAATTAATTATATATATCAAAAAATGTATTTAAAGACTTACTTTTGTGTTTCAATAAAATATCATTAGAACTCCTAATCATCTAAATAAAATACAATTACCTGTGTCTTCATATACAAGTTAATAATAAACTATTTAGACCATTAAGAATCTTAACAATCGTAACTGTGTAATTAACATGAAGAGATTTCACAATCACGTAGCTCAAAGTATTGTTTAATTAGTGAAATGACTTCTTGTATCTTCATATATATTAGCCGTTTGCCTCTTTCGAAATCCAAATCACAAAGTTAAAACCTCTTGTAGAAGCTTGAGATAGGCAACTTTAAGATTAAAGCTAAGCATTTATTTGTTATCAAACCCCAGTTGTATTGAACTGATTGAGATAGTTTGAGTGTAACAATGTAGCTTCTATTTTAAAGGTATTTTGATTTTTCTCTAATTTTAAGTAAAGCTATCTTGACAACTACATGGTTAAATCTAACGGATTTTTTTTTATTTGAATTCTATAAATCTATAGAATTCAAACTGAAAAGGTTTTATCAGATTCAAGCAGGTAGGTGTTGAGATATCTTTACTCAAAATTTTTAAATTTTTTATTTTTACTAGAATCTGCATGTCGATTAGTATTAAGAAGTATCAAAAATATAAGTTTTGCTACTAGGGTAGTTTAGGATTGATTTTCTGATCATGTGATTTTTTAATATAATATAAAAAAATTTATTTACATTAGAGTTTGAGTCAGGGTTTAGGTTAAGGTTTGGGTTTGAGAGCTATTATATAGTAAAATTGTATAAAAAAATTTTTTTGTTAGAACCAAAAAGGTGGTTTACTAGTTTATATTTTATAATAAACATAAATTTTACAAAGTAAATATTTGTTTTAATTTTCTTTACATTACACCTGATCTTGGTTTTTAATTGGCTAACTATTGAATAGAAAATCAATTCTATACTCTGGCATCTACAGATAGTTCTTAGAAACAAACTATTTTAGTAAAAGTACAAGCACATAACTAATCAACAAAAATTAACCAATAAAATTATAATACTAATTAATGATTGATTAAATTCAAAATAGTGAAAAATTTACTAAAAAAACTAATAGTATAAATTTAAATTGTATAATCCATACTAAATTATAAATACTGTAAAATCTCAAAATAGTAGGCATGGGAGTATAGCAGGCTTTCATTGTGATTGGCCAATTTTTGTAGATCATCTCGTGATATAGAAAAAATTTTATTGGTTAATTGAAATTAATCAAAATTCTAAATTATCATGAATAAAAACTTATAAATACATATAAATAACTATATTTGTAACGAAATTATTATCAACAGAAGTCTTTACTATGAAATCTCGATAGCCTTAAATCTAAATCTATAATCTTATCACAGATAAAATTCTGATAAGCCAAAATTTTATTAAAGAAATAACCCTAACATACTATGAATCAAAAAAAGAAAAAAGGTCCCAAAAAATGAACCAAAAACAAAAAAAAATATATATAGAAAATAAATATTTAAACCTATTATGGAATATTAATGGCTAATACTGTAATATAAAAAAAAAAACTCTGAAGTACTTGCTCCAATATCAAACTAATTAATCTTATTTAATAATCATTATATGGCTACAGTACTCCCATTACTTCCGCTTTAACTATTATCATGATGTCTATGAACCTTGTCTTGTTATAACTCTCAACTTTATATTATCGGCCTATATTATAGACAGGTTTTTATATTAGTTTGAACTATGAAAAATAGGTTTTCAAAAATAAAAGATAGCTTAAATTGCCAAGTTTTATTAACTTATTGTACCTATAAGCAAAACTTAAATATTAAACATACCTCTTATCTAATAACCGAATTACTTTGTTAATTGCCAAATTACTTTGCAAGGATATAAAATAAAACCTCTACTTTTAAATTCTTTTAGTTTTAACTCTTACTAACTTGTCATCGTGCTTACTAATCCATTTTTGTGCTTGTAAAACGTTATGTAATATGTCTTTTATATTGTGTAACATTCTGGTCAATCATCCAATCATAATGAAAGCCTGCTATGCTGGGCATAGGTGTTAATTCAAAAATCACGCCCCTTAAAAATTTTATAACTAGTTTTGAAATAATGCCCATATGTGTTTCGAAATAACATACACCTTATTATACATTCATATTGTGTCACATTATGTAAATAGTAATTTATTGAATTGACTATAGTACATGCTCAAAAATATACGTATACAGTTAGACCTCTTTAAATGCACCCTCTCTAAGTGCACATCTTCTCAAAATGCACGCTTAAGTGCTAGCCCAAATATATACTTGACCTCTATAAATGCACTTTTTTTTATTATTCTCTAAATGCACGTTATAAAAGTTTGGTTCCAAAAGCATGCACTTAGAGAAATCTGACTATACAGTCAGATAGTGTTTTGAACCGTCAACCGAAAGTTCAACCGGGGCTGATCCGGGTAGACTTCCGGGTATTCCTAGCCAATCGCTGATGTTTGTTTA